TTGAACTTCGAGAACCTATTTTTTCTGATTCAGCGTATAAAACTGCCTCTAGAAATGTTATTTAAATAACATTTCTAGAGGCAGTTTTATACGCTGAATCAGAAAAAATAGGTTCTCGAAGTTCAAAACGAAATAAGAAGAAAATATTAGAATTTTGTGTCAAGGAACAAAAGTATTTGAGAATTTTTTCATCCAAGAAGTGCTTCCGGAAAGCTAAAACCAAGATATTCCTGATCAGCTCGATTTCCTCTTTCGAATGGTTATAAAAAAGCCAGAAATAAAATAATTCTGTAACTTCGAATTACTGGCGTCTTAGAAAACAAGAATTTTCTCTGAAAACAACTTCGTTCGATTCGCCACTCAACCGTAGACGTACTTTGGGACGCAATATTCTTATAGATAAAAGAAATCATCAAAATCGGAAAACAAGCATTTTTCTGTATATGCATTACGAAAACACACATGCATCGTTCAATTTTCTTTAACAAGATTTTGCTGAATAAGCAGAAAGAATTAAACAAAATTTAAAAGTTTTCGAAGTTTAAACTATCATTTTGGAAAAGTGATATTCTCCGATAGTTTTACTTTTTTTAATAGTGAAGCGACAGTAATACAGTAAGATAGAATTTCGATTTTTATATTTTACTATGTTATTAGCTAACAATAATACATAAGAGGTAATTGGAAAATTTGAGAACATTCATCAATCCTACTGTACCTTGTATCGGATTGTGTTTTCAAAGAGCGTCTATTTTATAGAAGAGCCTTGCAATAAACGGTCGAATATTTTCTTATTCAGATTAACTATCTTGCATGTAATTTGTTCAGTGTTTTTATCACAAAATTAAAAAAAGAATACGCACAAACTACCAACTCCCAAACTAAAAAGAATTCACTTCTTTTTGCTCGATGTAAACCAACTTAATTTCGCCCCTGGAAAACACACTGTTAGATTTTTTATATCTTCGCTACTCTATGTGAAAAAGTGAATCAAAGTCATTTGCAATTTTGAAGTATAAAAAAGATGCGAATCGATTGTTATAACTACTGTTCCAAATCATTTTCGCTTTTGCAGCTACACCACGACATATGACAGCGAGTATTAATTTAGAAGAAGGTCAACAACAAAACGAAATTAAAGAAGTGCATACACAGAAAACAGAAAATCCTGCAAAAAACGGTGAGCAACATAAAGTGTTAATGCATCACCCCAAACGAGACACGATGATAACTATCGTATCTGAAGAAGTTCAGTCCAAAGCTTCTAGTTAGGTTTTCTTACAACCTTTACTCACGTGATATTTCTTCACAAGGATGTTTCATTTTTGTTAATCTGAGATACTCTTCATAAGGTCCAGCACACTCAAAACAACAAACAATGGCCGGGTATTTTTCAAGAAAATCTAGTCAAAACACAACAGTAACATATACATTTGACGAGTCTTTTGAAGTTCTATCCAATAAATCTGTTCCCATTGGGATTCAAAGCATTTAACGACAGAAAAGTGTAAGTTTTAAACCCGCGTTCAAAGTCTGAGCACGTGTAGAGCTATTCCCCTGGACGACTTGTATTTCTCATGTACAGAAAAACAGGCTTTTGTCATTGGTTGAGCACTTTCGAAAAAAAGCTTTATTCCGACAAAAACACCGTTGCTTCAGTACTGGCTTTTATACGAACATCACTCTGAGTTGCGGTTTGAGCGTTTCTCATGATGGAGTATCCGCCTCGATTTCAAATCCTACGCAAAATTAATATAACAACGTGTTCAGTGGCAAAATATCCGGTAAAGTATGCTAGAAAGCTCTATCCAAGTATATGTGATAGATATCGGAATATTACAAACTTCGTGCTATTCAAATAGCGTGCTGTAAAAGAAACGGCGTTAATTAGAAATATACTATTTTTATAACTTCTGATTAATTTCAGTCCCCAAAACAGAACAGGAGAGAAATAACAAAAAATTTCTGTGTTTAGACCATTCTGCAATACCTATGAAATCAAATTATTTATCGAAGAAACGGACAGTTGCGTCAATCGTACAAATTGACATTGATGAATTATTGAAACCAAAAAGCTGTACAGTAGATGTGCAGCTTACCCATAAACAATATTTATCATCAGCAGAAATTGATCTTCTTGCTGATATGACAAAATTTCTTCTTTCATCTACAACTGATAAAGCCGATGTATTTGACAGTTGTTTCGCTACAATGATCGATGAGCCACTTGATGTTAAAGTTTTGATCAAATGTGTTACAGGAGATGACAAATTGAAAGTTTATATCCTTGATAGTTTAAAACGCTACCATGCTTTATCTGATGTTATCCATTTGCTGCCAGCTTGTGCCGATATTGATCCATATATTTTGCCAACCGAAAAAGTCGATACTGTTGAACAATTTTTAAATATTGCTGATAAAATAACTACACGAATTCTTTTAATTTCAACAATTGAATCTCTATCATATGAAAGCCAACGTTATCTGGGTCATTTTATAAAAAAAAATGATTTACCAATACCATTTTCGTATTATACATATAATAAAATTGTTCAATCTGTTCAATATAAAATTAATTTCAATACATTAGCCGAAGTACTTTGTTTAACAGATGATCGATTTTTATTACAAATTGGTAGTCCTTCAACGGTTGGTTTAGGAAAAACAACTTTATTACAAAATATTTTTCATGATAAGCGTAAAGAAAGTTTGAATGCAGATGGAACTACGAAACTTCGTTCTTGTTGTATTGATTTATTGTTTGCTTCGATGACTTACAATCATGCAAGTGAAAAATATATTGTATTTGACGTTCATGGTACAATGGTACATAGCATTAATGAAGAAATAGTAACAGCTATTCAACAATATGTTTCATTACAAATATTTTATGTTACAATGCAGGATTTAAATGATGGTTCATTTTTGCCTTCTCTCATGAATTGTTCAGATGAAACACGCGTTAAACCTACTATTGTTGTCATTTTTGATGCCGATTATGACAGTAAACAAAATACATCAGAAAAAATTATTAGTCAATTTACACAACAGTATAAAAGTCATAAGCAGTTATTCATTTAAGATGTTCGGAAAGAAGGATGTCAGTTTCTCAGTCGAGTCACTTTTTTCTCATGTGTGCAATGCTGGGCATACTCCTACATATGTAACATTCTTGCACACGCTCCTGCAGTGCTGACAAAAATACCATGCAAAAATACGCTTGAAATAAAGTTGATATGTGAACCTTTTATTCCAAGTAACATTCAATAATGCATATGAAATGTAGTTCAAGCTTGAAAAATACACGAGCGCTTTACTTTTCTTCAGTTGACTTTATCAAAATCAAGCATCTGTTGCGTTTGCGGGTAGCTCGGGCTGCAATAGTCCACATTGCAGCAATCCAAATTGGAGTAGTCCAAATGCAAACAGTTCTTTATAGTCAATATGAGGTGTGACGATAGTTGTAGGTATGTTACACAGTTGTTGGTTACGAAAGTACACCCACTTTTATGACCAACAACTGTGTAACATACCTACAACTATCGTCACACCTCATATTGACTATAAAAGAACTGTTTGCATTTGGACTACTCCAATTTGGACTGCTGCAATGTGAATTACTGCAGACTGAACGGCTTGTTCACGCGTTACACTGTAACGTTTTTGACGCATTAAAATCCGCTTTTCTCAAAAACGAAATTGCGCCATTCGACGCAGCTTGAGCTCCTCTATTTCTCATATAAAATTCGAAAAATTTGATTTAATTTTGGAGGAGCTAGGTGCAATTTACCAGGCCGTTACACTGTAACGAAAAAAGGCCCTTTTTTTTCCGAGTGCCTGTCATAAA